TATCTTTGATTGAGCCTCGGCTGTGTGCTTGCGCGCATTTATTCGTTCAAGTTGATCGGAAATTTTCGTGGCGTTCAAAAAGTGAGTTTTGAGAACTGCATGGCGTTTGTGCACCCGCAACGACTACCCGTTTGGTCAGTGCTGAGCATTGGCCCACTTTGGGGACGACTGGGTACCTCCACAGTTCTCATATCACATCGCAAGCGCCTTGTGGTATAAGTACATGCGTATCACTGCTAAAAAAACGCAGGGATCACTAAGCCCAAACTCCCTACACTGTCACAGTCCACATCATCCCACTATCCAAGATTACGTCAGCTCCGACATGGCTGCACAGGGGTTTCAGGTTGTCGTTGTCGGCGGTGGGATTGCGGGCCTGACGCTTGCTAACGCCTTGGAAAAAGCTGATATCGAGTACATAATTCTCGAAGCCCGAGACAACATTGCGCTGACCGTCGGTGCTTCTATCGGAATCTTTTCGAATGGTGGTCGAATTATTGACCAACTTGGGTGCTACGAGGCGATCGAAAAGTTGACGATCCCACTGCATAGGGGCAGAAGTCGCGACAGCAATGGCAAGCAGTTCTTCACACAGACCGGCATACTACTGAATCAAGCTCGGTAAATGGCCAATTCCATGACATATCTTCACTCTGGCTGACGTTGTTCGAAGGTTTAATTACCCTGCCCTCTTCATCGATCGACAACATGCGTTGCGTATCATGTACGACAATCTCAAAGACAAGTCCAAGGTCAGCTTGCAGAAACGAATCGCAAAGGTTGACCACCGCGAGGACGGAGTGACCGTCACTTGTGAGGATGGCACCACGGTCAGTGGTGACATCCTGGTCGGCTGTGATGGCGTTCACAGCGTTGTTCGTAATGACATGTGGCGACGTGCTCAACTGCACGAACAAAAGTCCTTCGATCCCTCTGACCAGAACCTGCTCTTTGCAGAATACCAATGTCTCTTTGGTATCTCCTCTCAGACGAAGGGCATTGTCGACGGTGAAGTCACGGTGAACCACGACGAAGATTTCTCTACCATGCTCATCGGAGGCATGGAAAAGGTGTATTGGTTCATCTTCAAAAAGATGGACAAGATCTGGTGAGCTTCATTATCTCAAATGCCATCTTTTCAAGCTGAACTCAATAGTACGTACAAGCCGAGCTCGTTTTCCAGTTCGCCCATGATGAACACATTCTTAATTAAGCGGCACTTCTGTAAAGGCAAGCGTACTGGGTGTTCCTTTCGCTGATCATACTACAGACAAAGCCGACGAGATCCCACGATAAACAAAAGCCGATGCTGAAGCCTTCGCTCGCAAGATCGAGAACTTTCATATCACTCCGGAGCTGACTTTCGATGGCATCTGGAAAAACAGGAATACATACACTCTCGTGCCCACCGAAGAGGCACAGATGAAGCGCTGGCCCTGGGGTCGTATTGCGTGTGTAGGCGACGGCGTCCACAAGGTGACTCCAAACATGGGTGCAGGCGGCAATGCAGCGATGGAAACCGCTGCTGCTCTCGCAAACCAACTCAAGAAGATGGTCGATACGGCCGAGAAAGGAAAGCCAAGCTACGAAACCATCAAAGCTCGCCTCGGAGACTACCAGAAAACCCGAGACTTCCGTATGAAAGCGATTTCCAAGGCGGCAAATGGCCTCACACGCATACATTCTCTGGCGACACTCAAAGATAGGCTCTTAGCATTCTGGGTATGACCACCAGTCAATTTTTGCCATAATAGTTCTGACAATCCTCCAGGTTATACCCAATGCTGGCGATCTGTAAGTAACTCATATGAAAAGCGCATGCATCCATCGCACGTACCCGGTCCGTAATAGGCGGCGATTTAGCCAATCAGCACGTCCCTCTCCATGCTATACGAGATGTGCACAGTCAGCTTAGCCAAGCTGCGCAACTTCATTTACCCTTTTCGGCATCCTTGGCGGGAGGAACAAGCTACCGAGTCAGTGCTAACTCGTCATTATAGTCTCGCAAATCTCAATTCCGACATAATAACTGGTGCTGTCAAGCTTGACTACCTCCCTACACCTGAACGATCACTACACGGCACCATGCCTTTCAACCCATCCCAAGGACTCGGTCACACAGAGTCGAAGCCATGGAGAGCTGTCAGAGGCTTGCCATTCCTGGGCATCACAGTTGCTGCATTCTACTACCTTTGGGGCATTTGCCTGCCACCAATGATCGAGCGCATTGGCGAGATCCTGGAGAAAGGCTTGCACAATCAGATCGGTGAAGCCGTCCACGTCGAGACATTGCAGAACTTCTACGGCGTCGAATACCTAGACAGCAGGTTCAGAGGAGCTGTTGCATGCTTTGCCTCGCTCCAATTTGTCGACCTCGCCTGCAGCTGGCAGAGCCTCACCTTCCTGACTGATGCTGGAATCATATACTCAATATTACTCATCGAGAGTGCACGAAGGGCAAACATTATGACTGTGTCCTATGCGTAAGTCAGGCCTCATGTAATGATGCACGGCGACTGACAATCCCACCAGGCCACTCATTCTCGGCTGGTATATGCAATTCTTTGGCTTCGGCGCTCTTGCGGCCCTCTGGTACCTGATCCACTACATCCAGACCCCCATCGAGAACTTCCGCGCCCGCGACCTCCGCCTCACCGATCTGTCTTACACGGCCTCCGTTCTCCCTGTTATTTTGCTGACCCACTATGTTCCTAACTTCATACAATTGTCCGCCTGGGTCGACCCCGCCACACGCCGCACTGCAGCCTGGGTTTGGCAACCTTTCGCGCTCTGGACTACGATCTTGCAGTTTGTGCTCAAGAAGACTGTCATGCCGGACACAGTGCAGGAAGACAAGCTCAAAAACCCGAACAGGGATCTACCGGTTATCAAGTATACGATCTACTCGCTTTGCGCGATTTCCACGTCAACGTGGTGGTACACGCTTTATAGTGCGCCATTTCCGCCAGCGCGACTGTTTGTGCCAGACCTTGCCAACGTCAAGACGGGCGATGAGTTTGTTCGCACATTTTTGCAATTCGATGAGATCTTTGGGCTGGGATCTTGCCTTCTCTGGCTGCTGTACCTTTTTAGCGACCTGAAGAGGGCGGGCATGCTGGACGCCAGCTGGGTCAGCATCATTGGCAGGGGTTTGCTCACACTTGTCGCTGCTGGTCCGGGTGTGACGGTTGGATTGGGTTGGTGGTGGAGGGAGCGGTTACTGGCTACGAAATGGCACAAGGATGCCATTGTTGCGAAGAAGTCGAAGTGAGCGGATCATTCCTATGCAAGCGCAGAAAGGGATTGCATCGCGACATCACATGGACTTGGACTGAGTAGGGAAAGGTCTCGAACTGTGGGCGCTGAATTGTGGCTCCAGTCATGTTGTCACTGCTTTGAACTTGTCACTTCGGCTATGCTAGGCTTCCATTGAGCCTCTTTCGGTATTCTTCTAGACTGCTTGACCGTAGGTATCCCAAGCGCTCTTGGGCCCATTCCTCGTTTTCAAAGTACTCGGGATTTTCCAGAAGATCTCTATCGGTTCCTTCTCGCCTTCCAGGTATCTCTCCTTTGAAACTGATGGACATTTGGATGAAGTCGTTGAACTCCCAGCAGGTCTCCTCAATGTCTTCACAGCTCAGGCTTTGGTGGCCGGTATGCTCCACATACGCAAAGCCTCCAGAGCACCCTCGCGCATCGAACTCTCGCGGACAGGTCGATCTTTCCTGTGCATTTGAATGCAATTCCACCTTCTTTATATTCAGGGAAGTTCCATGAGCACTACAGGTCCACCCCGTACTGAAGGTCGCATTTTATAATTGTGTTGATTGCATCTGGCGTGAAGTTGCTGCAGACGGATGTCGATACATTGAGATCCCACAAAGCCGTGATGCTCGTCAGCTAACCTCTGCAGGAAGGGCTAGTAGACTGTCTCCATGTTCCAGGGAATGGTTGGGATGAAGACCATTTCTCTCACGAATTTTCGCACGTGGACAGGTGGCAGAGACCGGCCTGTTGAGTTGATGACGTTCTTCTCGTAGAAGACTTGCGTTGCGAGAGCAAAGTCAGACCGGAGGGCGAGGTGATGGCGGAGCCTGGGACCGTGGAGGAAGTCATCTTTTCCGGACAAGAATGCAGTGCCGTGAATCCATACATCATAGACGAGGTTGTAGGACAGTACTTTGACCTTGAGCTCGTCCGGAAGCTTGCGCCAGCCTCGTGCGAAGTCAGCAGTCAACGGCGCCACAGTGTGATTGAAGGGGACCATTGGCTTAGCAGGATCGACGTGTGACATATCGTCTGTGTCGTTGTTCAACTTGAGTGGATGAGGAAGGAAAGGTGAGCGAGAGGGCGTGGGAAAAGAGGTCAACGTTGGGAACGAGATATAATTACTTGCGCGGTAAGTAAAAATGTCGTTTTGAGGAAAAGGATCGAAAGGTAAGGTGAAGGACGCACCGCGTATAACTAATGGATGCTGCAGCTCACCCAACTGCCACACCCGTCGTATCTACCTTCACTCTGATACCGCCACTTGATATCTTCCAAGTCACCGTAAATTTGATGGCATGACGATAAGAAAATTGGTCTGAAAATGCGAAGGGTGGCCTGACCAGGGGCCGAACCTACAAGATTTAGAGAAAGTAAGGGATAGATCAGGTGAAAGATAGAGCGAGTGAGTGAGGAGAAGATCGTGCGATCGTTCGAGCTGAGGGTGTGAATCAAGAACCCGAAAGCAGTCGCACTGCAAACGTTTCCATGTGCTGGTGTACTCATAACTGATTCGTGGCCACGAGCTTGCACTTTGACCACATCCTACGAGCATGGTAGGTAAGTAAGTGCACTTGAACAAGTTCAGCTAAGCTTGCAGCCTCAGAAAGAAAGAGCGGAAGCAGCACCCATCGCACCTCCTATCAGTTTGACAGAGTTACTAATTCCTTCCAAGTAGATACTGCTTATCGCGGAGCACAAGATAACAAAAAGATGCAACCAAATGCAAAAATTGACCTAACCAGGGGTCGAACCTGGAATCTCTTGATGCGCAATTGTTGTTCGGACTGGAAATCCGACAATCGTAGTCAAGCGCCTTGCCATTGGGCCATTAGGCCAGTTGCTACTGTTGTTGATGAAAAAAAGTGCGAAAATATCAAATATATTATTGATGATTTCAAGAAGTACATCTGCACTTGTTGAATCCAGCTCAGAATCTCCTGAGAGCTGTGTTGATAGTTGTAAAACTCTTCACTGGAGGTCAAGCCTCTAAATTTGCAGGTTCGACCCTTGATCAGTCTGACATCAATGGCGGGGCACCTCAACCCCGTCTCGTGAATTCTAACAACGCATCTGCAGGCCGCAACACACGTACCACAAGTCGCCATGACACGCAAACAGCCTCGTAGTCAGCGACTGGAACACGGAGCCTTTCTTCACTTCTCACTTACCTGAAGAAGCCGTATGCAAATGTGCTTCCAGCTGCCCTCTACAACATACAAACCAAGCCCCACCATGTCTCGCGCCGCCGGACCACCGCAATCCTCTCCAAACGCCGTAGCCGCACAATACTCAGGCGAAGACTTCGTAGTAGGCGGTGGAGTCGCAATCTTCCACATCGCGACGGGGCGTGTCGTGATATGCAGCGCGCCATACCATGGGAAGAAATACTACTTTCTGCCCAAAGGGCGGCGGGATGCTGGAGAGGATAGTCGCACTGGGGCTGAGCGGGAGGGTTATGAAGAGGTATCTATACCTTCTTCATGTTGACTGAGAGGAGACTAGAGCGCCAAAGCTGACGGGTTGACAGTCAGGGTATCGCAATCGCCTCCTCCCTCTCCCAACTACACACCGCCAACCCCAAGCCCACCCACGCGTCGACTCGCCGCCGCTTACCGCAGAACCTGTCTGGATGCAATTGATGCCACTTGGGTATCGCAATATACAGTATGTCCTGTACTGGTACATAGCTGAGACACTACCACCGGATCTGGAAGGCGAGTTAGAGACCGAAGTAGGAGGTGCATACAAACCGCCGCCGGCATACCCTCACGATCTGACGCTGAGGGAGAGGATTAAGCTAGAGCCGGAGAGCTATGAACCGAAGCATCACGAGGGTACCGGGGTTGATGAGGAAGAAGCGACGTATGAGAGTCATCTAGTGAGTGTGGAGGAAGCGGTAAGGAAATTGGGCGGGCCAGGTTCAGTGTTGGCTGACGTAGTGATGCGAGGATGGAAGGGGATACAGGACCGCTTCGCGATGGAAGAAGCGCATGATGCGATGACGCAAAGTCCCGAGGCGATGCGTTGATAAGTTATCATGTGTGAATGACCAGGTACAAGCTGCAAAACAATCAATGTGGGCGCCGTCGGCCATGATCCCTGCCAAACGTACATGCCCACACGACTTTTGGAGACTAAAACTACATGCTTTGTTCTGTCTAGGTCATTGTGCGTCATGAGGGCAAGTCAATTAAAGCGTCATCGTGTCATAGTCGTTGATTCCTCAGGATAGACATACCCATATATACAGTACACATTCCCAGTAGAAGACCGTGGTGGCAACATGCTAGATTCATGAGCCACTTCTAACTAGCGCCCTTTCTCTACGCAGTAGAAAAGAAAATATGTGAAGGAGAGTATGTTGGAAGAGGGCAGCAGCGCCGAACGAACGTAATGAAATGTGTACAATGAATCAGCAAGCTTGTATTGCAGTAGATCCTGGCTGAGGCGACGAGTAGATGGTGATATGGTCGTGACGTGAGGGTATACCGAGGGAAGACAACGCAGATGAATGACAGGTAGATCTTTTACCACGAGAACGACTCCTCGCGGAAGTCAACGTTCCATGTCAGCTCGCGATTGCGGACGGCGCGGCGGAGCTCGTCAGCCAGACCACCGGTACCGCATGTGCTGACGCAAGCAGCACCGATGCCCTCCTGCATCTCCTGATCAACGAGGCTCTGGACATTGGGTCGGCCAGGGAACATCTGGACGCTCGACGAGGGGGAGTGGATCTCCTTTGTGCTGCGAGGGCGAGTGACGAAGAGGAGAATCTTAAGGATCTCGCGACGGCGAGGCATCGAGAGGATCTGTGTCATCCAGGTGCGGATCCACTCAAGGTGCTCGGGGGACTGGATGATCCAGACGAGTGTGAGGCGTCGTGTGGCGACGGTGCCGTTGGCGTAGCCAGCAACGATGTCGCGGACGTGGGGAACCTGGTGAGTGATACCGATACCAGCCGCCCACAGCATGACTGTGCCATAGGAGCTGAGATCCTCACCACCGTATGGGCCCTCGGCGTAGCAGGTGGTGGAGAAGCGACCAGATGCAGACAAGTCCGCCTTGCGGAACAGTTTGTCGGTGAAACCAGTTCGTCGGCGAACAATGAAGGACATGCTAGTCTTGGACTTCTGAAGGGCGAGATCGTTGGTGGTCATGGGAAGACCCTTCTCGTCGATGTGGTGAGGGTCCTCCTCTTCCTCGCTCCACGCGATGGAGAAGGGGTGGTTGGTCCATAAACCAATCGAAGGCATGTAGAGATATGCGTGCTGACCCGGGCGGAAGCTCCAAGGGCGGGCCATCTTGACGGTAATGCGAAGAGCGTCACCAGGAAGGACCTCAACATCCGCGGACGAGCCACCGTTGCCAATGTTGTTGATGAGAAGGCGGGCAAAACGCAGGAAGCGCTCAGCAGCCCAGATGGCAACGACACCGTACAGCATGAGCTGCTGGGGGCGCTCCTTCAAGTGGACCCAGACGGCGCCGAGGGCAAGCGCAGCACCGACGATGTGGCCGTGCAGGAAGACCTCGTAGAAAGAGTGGCGGATGGGCGAGGGAGATTGAAGGAGGAGGAAGGTGAATGCAACGGTGCCCTGTTCAATGTTAGCATTGAATTACACGCCATATTCAAGCAAACGCACAATGAATCCGGTCATAATGAACTCGCTGCCGGTGATCGATGCCTGGACAGCACCCCAGCCCTCTGTAGCGGTCTTAGTATTTGTAGTACAATCATAGCGTCTCTACTTACTGGTGTGCACCTTGTTGGCGATCCAGCAGACAGTGTGGGCGATAGCCTCGAGGATGACGATTCGTCCAAACCAGCGGTGGATAAGGTTCATGGTGTCGAAAGAGATGCCGGTGAGCTTGATGATGGGGTTGTTGCGGCCAGCCAGGAGGAAGAGAGGAATCATGTTCATGACAGACATGACACCGGAACGGCTAAGGAGCTCACCAGCACCGGCCGAGAAGCTGCTGTAGTTGATCTTCCAGACGCAGAATCCGATGTTGACGGCAAAGTAGCCGATCAAAAAGAAGCTCTGGAGACGGCTGGGAAGGGTGCCAACGCCAATAGCAGAGGACATCTTGAACTCGCGGTGGTGACGAGTGCGCCAGAGAGGTGCGTCCAAGCACGACTTCTTGAAGCGGGCATAGTAGTGGTTGGGGATCGAAAAGTAGCGCTGAGTCTCATTGTTGAGGCATGACACTGTGCGTACGTAGCGGACGAAGTAGAGAATGACCTGGTAAAGGGCAAACACTACAACGAAGCACCACCAGATGCGGCCAAGGTAATTTTGCACATCGATGTTCTCAAGTCCAGCGGTGGGGTCCTCGCCGTGTCCTGCGCGCTTGGCAAGGCTGTCAAAGGTCTCTGAGGGAGTCATTGTTGTTGTTTGATGGACGAGTCCAGATGGGGTAGATCTTTAAACGTCCTGGGGTAGCGAGAGTTATCTGTCTTGACCAGCAATTGACAGAATGCGTAAGAGGCGAAAGCCGTAAATGTAATTGGGAATGAGTGAATGATCAAGTCGTCGCTCCAATCGAGTGAGTGTGCGTCGAGCTAGCTTCTCTGAGGCACGTCCGTGAAGCCTGAGGTGGGTGGTGACACAAGAGGCTTGTCTGGACGCTCACTTGATGTCTGGGGAACTGTTGACAGCGCCCACGATGGTCGACTAAAGCAGGGCAGCCAGGTGAGTGAAGCAAGGGCAAATCCAGAAATCCAGGTGACGTGATCACAGATAGGAGTCGAGTGCGATCGGCCTCGAAGAGTCGTCCACCAGGGGAAAGGATTGGAAAAGCCGGCGGGGAAGCGAGAGACTGCACGGCAGGACTGAAGCGAAGTAAAGAACGACTTGAGCGAACGGTGTTGGGGAAGAAGAAGAGGAGATCCCTCACAGGCGTGGACCAGCGGTGGGTATGAAGGGATGAGAGTTTGATTATCACAGCGCATTTGCAGGCGTCGATTGGAGGATGGCCTAGCGCTGCAGGGACCGGGGTAGCGCTCCAGGAGGCTTAGATTCGTTGGCTGCCATTCGGCGCCTGGACGGGACTGCGGACGCTGAAACGGCGCCTCCGCACGCCACAGGCGAAAATGGCCGTTTCAAAGGCTCCTTCGTCCCGAAGGATTCGGCTCTCCGACTTCACGATGGATGCGGACTGCGTCATCTTGTTGGGCGCTTCGATCGCAGTGGTTCGCTGCGAGACACGCAGTTCGAGACAGCGACGCGTGGGCGCCAGCTCTGCGAGAGACGCATCACGTGCCAGTCCATTGTCTCGAACACCTGGGCAACCCCAATCTCATTCCTGCCCTCAGCCTGGATCCAAGGCGGCGCTTTCGCCATTTGCGGCCGCATCAATCTACAGATTACAAGGTCTTCCGCAGGAAGCAGCCGTTGTGTTACAGCAAACGGTGCCCCGGTACGCGGTATCTTGTCGGTAACAATATCAACACGAACTCCTCCATCAAACCGGCTGAACTGTCGACACTCCAAGTGCCGGTCGAACGAAACGTTTGCTCGAGTGCACGATTCGTTCTCGTTTGCATGTTTTGTGGCCGCGTCATACCGTTTGCCGCACTTGTTCGGCGCATGAATCAACGCCACGCAACATGCTTCGAACACCGCTCTGTATTGCCTCTCCGACTGGCTTTCGATGTCTGGTCACGCTGCTGCAGCGACGCGGTCTTCGACTCAACAACACGGCGGCCGCCAGCCGGACCAATATGAGTTCACCGGCCTTGACATCCTGAAGGCTTTGCATGACCCATTACCTTGACACAAGCCAGGGCGCCGCTGCAGGACGACCTGTCACGGGCAGCTTCCTGCTCGATTGTAGG